AGTTTAATATTTTACCTTGAAATATTTTTAAACCATATTTTGTAGCTTGTTTGGTTTTTTTCGGAATGCTATCTTCTTTAATTTTGGCAATTTCCTCCTCTGTTACTACGGCAAAACGAGCAGCCATTTTGAAAAAAAAGCTATAGTCACTGACCAGTGACTACCACTTCAGAGACAGTGAATCTTGACCAATCAGAATGTAGAAAAATCAATAGTCACCTGGAAATTTATACTAAAGAGCGTTTGCACCCATTCCCAGGGACCAAATCAACAAAAGCTATGGCGGCCATGTTGGTGTTCCAGACAAAAGAGTCTAATTAAAATTATTTTAAATTGGAACACCAACATGGCGGCTGTGACGTGCAAACGCTCTATGCTAGTGTCTATTGAAGTCATAGTGAAATCTATATGAGCTGCTAATACATGAAAGTGAAATTACCTTCATTGGTGAATTCAAGGTAAACCACCAATGAGAATGCTTTGAATTTTGGCGGCGCAAGGAACTTACTGCAATAATTATTGGTGCTACATATTATAATCATAACAGGTGTATACTGCGAAACTGTATACTGGGATAAATTACATCTAAACTGATGATGTCTTTCTTTGACTATGCATAGAGCTGTATTTTCGACAAGAAGTACGACAACACTTCACTCCATGTGTTTTACGAAGGAAACCTACGTACTTACGGCAATAGTGTTTGCAGTCGATGGTATTTTACATTTGATGGTGCAGAATGTGCAAAACCATCGACTATTGAAGGAATTTTTTGGGTCGGATCAACTCACGTAAATATTTATCATCACCGCCATATTGAAGGCTACTGTAACCAGGTTCCTAAAGGTCATGTACGTGTGGGGTTCTGGATAGGCAAGTGTTCGGGTTACAGTCTTGGAAATGGTCACACTGGTTGGAATTCCATGTCTCGTATTGTGATTGAAGAAGTACCACCACCTCACGAGTAAATGAAAGTCCAACTATCACAAAGTCTGAATGGCCTAATTATAAACTACCATACTACTTTGTATCAGTATTATAATTATTCAGTATCTATTCTGCACCAATATGTAAACGAGAAATAATTACAGGTTAAAGTATAAGTGACCATGCATGTATACCCTGCACCATATTTAATGATTTACTTTCCTCCTCACCTTTTTTTTTTACTTTCTGTTATCGATTTAACTTCAAATATATTTCAAACATAGCTACAAGGATACGTTTTTTACTTGGTTACTTTGTCAGTCACGTGGTTTCTTTTAATTTTCATTTAGTGTTTACACCTATATATATAAAACAATTCTATTTTATCACGATCCTCATGAAGGACACTTTATTTCATGACGGTAACTACAAGCTTTTCCTGCCCAGATGGGATATATTTGTCGATAGAATTTTCGAACGAAGATTTATAACAATTTTAGCCCTAACTGGGAGCACCTGCGAAAAATGAAACTTTTGGTCTTCTGGCAAGAATTGAACGTGCGCGCAGCAATACCGTTGCAATAGGACGTAGGACGGGACGCGACGGCGACGCAAATTTTTTTTCCGTGGACAGTCGGACTCCTCATTGATAGTCGGACGCATCATTGACCCGCGCCCTTAAACAAAATATTCAGCGGATACTCGTCGCTCGCAATTGGTGATTTCAAAATCAGTATTGCTTGGTTGAGATGTCAAAATCTGAGCAGGACACATTGTGGCTTCATACCTTGTGTGGTGATGACATCCGACAGGAGCGATTGGCATTGCAGAATACCCATCCACTTTTTAAGCTATGCTATTCAAACATCATGGATACGATGTATTAATACATCTACATTTATTCTCAATAGATTAATAATAAATAGATGGTGGCCCGGTAAAGGTAGCTACGAGGCATCAGTATAGTGACTTAGCATTAATAGATTAAATTGTCATATTGTTAAATGTAGCTCTCTATTCTATTGGATACGCAGATACGCAGTCAAGTAGTTATTTTGTGAACGAGGCATACAGTTAGATTTCAAGCATTAGATCAAATTCTCATGCTATAGGTAGCTCTATATTTTAGTGGATACGCGAATGCGTGGCAGTAATTAGTAGCAGTAATAGATTAAATTGTCATGCTATAGAGAGCTTA